ACCGTGTGGAGGTTGGCAACACCGTGTGGAGGTTGGCAACACCGTGTGGAGGTTGGCAACACCGTGTGGAGGTTGGCAACACCGTGAGGAGGTTGGCAACACCGTGAGGAGGTTGGCAACACCGTGTGGAGGTTGGCAACACCGTGAGGAGGTTGGCAACACCGTGAGGAGGTTGGCAACACCGTGAGGAGGTTGGCAACACCGTGAGGAGGTTGGCAACACCGTGAGGAGGTTGGCAACACCGTGAGGAGGTTGGCAACACCGTGAGGAGGTTGGCAACACCGTGTGGAGGTTGGCAACACCGTGAGGAGGTTGGCAACACCGTGAGGAGGTTGGCAACACCGTGAGGAGGTTGGCAACACCGTGAGGAGGTTGGCAACACCGTGAGGAGGTTGGCAACACCGTGAGGAGGTTGGCAACACCGTGAGGAGGTTGGCAACACCGTGAGGAGGTTGGCAACACAGTGTGGAGGTTGGCAAACACCGTGAGGAGGTTCTGCAACATCGTGATGGAGACGGCAACACCGTGTGGAGGCGGCAACACCGTGAGGAGATTGCGCACAGGATTTACTGTTTGCGCAATTCCGTGAGGAGGTTGGCAACACCGTGAAATGAGGTTTGGATGAACAAACGATTCTTCGAGGCGGGGATTATTCCAGGGACATAGGACCTCCCCCCCCACAGGAAACTCTGCAACATCTTAGATGGAGCCGATATACATAGCGCGGGAAAATGAAAGATTACCCGCTAACATCATCCCGGATAATTGGACACGATGAGAACATGAACTCTTCTCCATGTCAACTGCAATGTGTGAAATTAGAGCACATTACGCGGGCATGATTAAATGTAAAACATAAGGAGACATGTACTGCGTGTGGATCCTTCAGGCTGTGCTTCTCTGACCTCTAACTGGAAAGGAACTGTGGCAATATCACCGTGAACAAAAAATGTAGTAGAATTTAGAAAGTATTTCCTTTCCTAATTTTCTGTGAGGGAAGAGTGTACACGATCTCTGTGCAGCGAGAGGCTGAGCAGCTCACGTGTTCTCACCTGGAAGACTTGGGAAGACACCTGTTAAGGACTGGTGGGGAGGGGGGGGGATACGGACGTCAAGAATCGCGAGAAACCAGATGATAAGGTCGTGTAGCTCTGGAGAGTGATTAACATGTGTGTTTAGTTCGTCGCGTTCTCTTCAACATTTTCAAGAGATTTTTTAGCAGGAAGTATTGTGTGTGTGTGTGTGAGGTAAGAGGCTTTCCCCGGAAATCACTGCATCAGATACATTACATCAATCAGTAAAGAGAAACAGAGGATCACAGAAGAGATCAGAGGCTTATACCTATTTGGTAAACACAGAAAATATCCAGCTAGTCGCGTCTTCTGATCAGCTACGTGCATCTCAAAACATTAACTTCTACTTCAGTGGTTGTGGTACGGTCAGGAGGGGTTAATAAATGTTCATCAGGACCTCTCTACCTAAACTATGATTTTTGACCACCTTCATTAATGTGTTGCCAACGACTTTGTCCATAAGAAATATGGAGAAGTCTTCATGTTGTGTCAGTAGCTGTCAGCTGCGGGATGAGAAGCCCATCATTAGACTGTTGGTAAGGCGGTGTCCAGGAGCTGAAGCCAGGTAAGAGCTATTACAGAATAACACACACACACGCACGTAATGGAAGATTATATAAACCTGATAATCCATGACAAAATGCCTTTCACCAAACAGTCAAATAATTTCCGCTTGGCACCAGTGCTGGACCTCATTCTCACTGGTCTAGAATTATGCAGATCTCATTTAATCTCTTTTGCATCACGTGGGGCTCTACCGTGGTTAGTGGTGATTGTTGGTGCCTTGTAGTGCTGATTGTGGGTGGGAGGCAGTAGTGGTGGTGGAGACTGGTGATGTTAGTGATTGTAAAGTGTTGTGATGGTGGTGGGGTGATCTGGTGCGATTGAAACTCCAGGGTTCCGGATGGTGTTGATTTGGTGGTGTGGAGATGGGCAGTTCTGGTGGTGCTGAGGAGATGTGATGGTGATGAAGATGAACAAAAATTGGTATGGGGATCAACGGTGTTTGAGGGGGAAGGTTAAGGATGTGTGATGATTACCTGAACTGGAGACGTAGGAGTTATATTGAGTGGTTGATGACGGCAAGAAAAGATTGACGACGAGGAGTTATTAAATAAAATGATGTATAGTGGTAGTGAGAGGAAATGTTTAGTCTTAATGATGATGATGGGTGGTGAAGAGTTATAAATGGTAAGTAATGGAAGGTGAACATCTCGACTTTTACTCTCACTCACACCAACAGTCACCACAACTTTTCAGGTAATTTGCAGTTACTAATACCTAACTACCACACTGGGCTCCAGCTATCAGTATCTACCTACCACACTGGGCTACTGGTCTCAGTATTTCCCTACCACACTGGGCTCCAGGTCTCAGTATTTCCCTACCACACTGGGCTCCAGGTCTCAGTATTTCCCTACCACACTGGGGTTCAATTATCAGCACCTCTCCATCGCCATCTCCTGAACTAACTCTACCCTTCTCCCCTGACAGGGGGCGGCGAACTCGTGGAGCTCATGAAGAAAGCCAATAAGACCAAGGATTTCAGCGAACTAGACGAGACGATTCGTTCCAAGATTCCCAAGTATATCTACAACGGCGGCGAGGGCAAGTGTCTGCCTATTCATCAACTCGTCCTCAGGCGCAACAAGGAGAGACCGCCTAGCAAAGAGGTGAGTCTCACTTTACCCTGAAAAGTGTATAAATACTCCTACCCAATCAAAATGTGGTTGTCAGCTTATTTATACCCCCACAGGACCCCCACAGGACCCCCACAGGACCCCCACAGGACAATCACCGGATTCCGTCCCCCCTCCCCACACAGGCCCTCCAAACATGAAATACAGAAAAGCTTTTTCGCTTTGAAAGGTGTCGTGATATCATCCGTTTAGTAAACATTATGCAACACCAGTTTGACTTATTATAACCTGTTGACATATTCATCATCATTCAGCATTAATATATAAATTATCTACAAAGACAATTTTAAAATGGAAAAATAGTCCCTAGAATGAAATATATAAATGAAGAGCTCGAGAATATATAACAGTTTAAGTCATTGTCACTGGAATTCACTAGTCATTCACTACAGTTGCACGTCTGGAGAACACATGAAGGGAAGCAGAGGTACAGAGATATGATGAGAGGTACAGAGACTGGACAAAAAAAGAAGAGAGGAATACATAGCCAACAATACTGCGACTGGAGGAGAGGTCGTCTGCTTGGAGCAGAGAAATAAGTCAACAAGTCAACGTAACTGAGAAATAAGAGAAACGTGTCTAATTCCTCTTGCAGAGCGGTAGAGAAATAATTCTCTGGTAGAGCAGAGAAATAAGTCAACGTGTGCAGGGAGCAACACTGTTGTTCTCAGCTCACGCTTCTTCACCTAGGGTGACAATATAGGCCAGGGTGGAAGTCTAGGGTGACAGTCTAGGGTGACAGTCTAGGGCAGGGGTGAGGGCAATCTGCCGCCTTACCTGGTACCCAATGCGGCCTTGGAAAGCAAATCTAATATGTGAAAGCAAATGTGAAACACAAGTTAATATATTGTACAATGAACAATAGCATTATAATACAACACAGTTGGAAACTTGCAATACTGTAATAGCCAGACCTCAAAATCGGAAAAAACTTTGCTCCAGACTATTTGTAAAACTTATTAAAACGTCGTAGGGTGGATATTCCAGTTTTGATACGATCACAACTCCTTGAACGATAAAGTTAAGTTTCTTAGACACATGTTTGAAATGTTTTCTTCGTTAAGAAACGAGGGATTTTCTTTACTCCACTACTTATTTAAATATGTGTTTTTCTTTAAAACAGGTGTTTATTACTTAATAACTAAATTCCTTATAATATTTAATGATAATAATTATCATTAAATTATAATATATTATATTTATATTTATAATATTATTATATATGATATTATATTATATACTTATATATATATTATATTATATATATATAATTATATATATATATATATATATATATATATATATATATATATATATATATATGCGAACAAGCCTGATGGTAGGACTATATAATATATATATATATATATGATGGTCATTAAGCGCCCTGTAGTTACCAGTTATATGGGTTCGAGTCACTTCTGGGGTGTGAGTTTTCATTATATATATATATAATATATATACATACTTATACTTATAATATAATAATATTTACAATAAATGATGTAATTCCATTCACATAAATGAAACATTAAACAACTCAAAGCATTTGAATTGCATACAAAATAAAACTTAACAGTAAAATTATGCTAAAGTTCTCTTCATTTTAGAAAATATTGATAATTCTCTTCCCTTGTTCCTTTAATACAGTGCATTTAAATATTTAAATAAATTCTTCTGGCGCTTTAACTATAAGCCAATATCATATATAAGAATCTTTACAGCACAGTAACTAAACAATGTGAGGTTTAGTGGCATTTTCACTCGGTAAAATATGGTCTTCGTATGACACGATGTTTCCCCATCCTTGATCTAGGTCTCGGGTGACAGTATAGTCAAGGGTGACATTCTAGGCCGTCTAGGGGTGACAGTTTAGGGTGACAGTCTAGGGTAGAGTCTAGTGTGAGAATGGCTGGTCACCTGGGGTCAAAGCGCTAGGCAATATTTTCATTTCCTGATAATTAAGCGCCAGTCCTTCTCTCTCATCTTCGTGTAAAACGTAATTTTTGGTGTAACTTGTTGTTCTTATTAATGTAATGAGGTCTAGTTCTCTTAACCCTCGCCCCCTCACCTCTAGCACCTCACCCTTTGCCCTCACCTGTGGCTACTCATCCCTCGCCCTCACCTGTGGCTACTCATCCCTCGCCCTCACCTGTGGCTACTCATCCCTCGCCCTCATCTGTGGCTACTCATCCCTCGCCCTCACCTGTGGCTACTCATCCCTCGCCCTCACCTGTGGCAACTCATCCCTCGCCCTCACCCCTCGTCCTCGACACAGTAAAGTAGTATTGTCTCTGACATTTTTGTCGTGTCAGGGCCACTAGAGTCCCATCCCCCTAGTGCTTCTGGCGACCATTTATCTCTCCCATTTCTCTCCCATTATCTCTCCCTATATCTTTCCCATTGCCTCTCCCATAAGCCCTTCCGGTAGCTTTCCCATTTAGCTCTCCTCGTGCAAGTGGCTTTTTTTATTACTAAAACAGAAGAAATACAATATAAAAAAGGGCGCCAAAGCCCCACAACGGAATAGCCCAACACAATTTAAACAAAATACAGAAAGGCTCACGAAACAAAGGAAGAATACATATGTGGGAAGTGCAAGAACAAGCAAAACATATTACAACATCGGAATACAGCAAGAACAGAAAGCAAAAACAACGTAACATTCTTAACACAACAAAACCCGGAAAAGGCCACAAGACAAAAGCAACACACATGAGCAAAGACATAAATAAACAAAACAGTACTCACAAGGGAACACAACATGAAACATCAGTAAACATCATGCACAACCAGGAAAACACTCAATAAAATACACAAACTCACCAGGGAAACTAAACATACAATACTACACAGAAACACACCACAAACAGAAATAATATTACATTATAAGAACACACACACACAGGGTAGTTCCTGTGGCGAATTTTGTTCGAACCACAACGCTGTAAATGCTTCACCCACGTAATGCTTCACCCACGTAATGCTTCACCCACGTAATGCTTCACCCACGTACTACAAATACAAATAATCGCCAACAGAACCTAAACACCTAACCTAACCTATGCCTATATATATGCACAATATGCTAATATATTATAATATTAATTTATATTTGAGAAAATTCCCGTTTTGAATGAACAGTATGTAAAAATTTATGAATGCGTCTGTGGGGTCGACCGCTGGATGCAGTGGACTTGAGTCGAGGACGGGTTGGTTTTTGAGCTGTTGTATGGAACGGAATGTAGTTTCTCTAAACAAAGAGGGTAAATATTTTCCATGTTGCTTTTTTCTTCCGTGATTTTCTGTTTAATACGTTCGATAATTTTTTCAAACAATGCTTCTGTCACTTTGTATTGTTCGAGGCGCACCTCTCTAAATGTTTCACCCACATATTTTGAATACAAATTATTACCAACAGAACCGAAACACCGAACCAAATGCTTGATTAACGAACATTATAGTCGAGTGTTTTGAGAATAAAATATAACATCAAAGTAAATGTATATTTGAAGTCTCATTCGAAGTGCCGCTTGAAAGAGCAAAACCGAAGCCTCATTCCCTTGGCGAAGCTCTGAAGCTAAGGGTTCAGGTCAGACCGAAGCATCAACACATTCATGTTCTGTGTGTGTGTGGGCTGGCTTAATTGTTTCAGCCCCCGTTATTGTGACTCATTCTCTTCATCTGGGGAAGCGGCTCCCTTTGAAGATGGCTAACCTCGTTCTCGGGATGGACAGGGGAAATAAATCCTAAACAGCTCTTCGCCTCTAATTATACTGTATTCCGTCGCACGGATATCAAGGGGCAGGTAAACGAGGAGATCAAAGTCGCTTCATTCGAGTGTGTCTCGCATCAGGTAGATGGTCCCAGGATAGCGTGTCCTGCCCACAGCTTCTAGTCTTCGTTAGGTACGTTTATAACAGCCCTTCCTCGTAAACAATGACTAAATGCTCGTTAATCCAGCCGCCAAACCCCCCTGTTTATGAATTAAAAAACGGTTTGCACATGATTCACTAACCTGTTATCAGACCAAGTCCATTCCATTAAGCAGTCGACCCCAATGATACATTCATCAATTTTAACATGCTGTTTATTAAAAACAGGAATTTTTTCAAATATAAATTAATATTATTATATATTATCAAATTGCCCATATTTAGGCATTGGTTAGGTTAGGTGTTTAGGTTCTGTTGGCGATTATTTGTATTTGTAATACGTGGGTGAAGCCTTTACAGCGTTGTGGTTCGAACAAAATTCGTCAGTGAAGCACTTGTTCCGGAAGTGTTCGAACGTCATCAGTTGTGAGTCGTGTGTAACAGCCCGTCCTCCAAACAAAGACCCAAAAGTGATTCCATGCACCCGCCAAACCCCCTGTTTATGAATGAAAAACGGTTTACACACGACACACAGCTGATGACGTTCGAATACTTCCGAAACAAGTGCTTCACTGATGAATTTTGTTCGAATTTCAACGCTGTAAATGCTTCACCCACGTACTACAAATACAAATAATCGCCAACAGAACTTAAACACCGTACCTATCCTATGCCTATATATGCACAATATGCTAATATATTATATTATTAATTTATATTTGAGAAATTCCTGTTCTGAATGAACAGCAAGTTAAAATTTATGAATGCGTCTGTGGGGTCGACCGCTGGATGTAATGGACTTGAGTCAAGGACGTGTTGAAATGCTTGACCAACGTACTTTAAATACAAATAATCGCCAACAGAATCTAAACACCTAACCTAACCTACGCCTAACTTTACATTGAAATTTAATATATGATAATATTAACCTATACATGAAAACAACCTCATTTTTAATATTCAGTATGTTCAAATGGATGAATGAGTCTCTGTGAACGACCGCTGCTACAGCGAGCTTGGCCTGAGGACTGGTTGTTTATACTGACACATTGTAAGAGCAGGTTGGACGCTCCCATCTCCAAAGTTCAACAACAATTGCACACGCGGAGTAGCTAGTTCATCCATCAACTGTCCTCATAAATAATGACCACGTGCTAACTACTTCAGTCGCCTCCCTCGCTATTCATGAAGGCAAATCACTTTACGCTCGACTTATAACTGATTACGATCGGACTTTTTTTTTTTAACAGCTTGCATGACTTTGTCCTTGCATAGAAAACCTTACCTAGCCTGGAGGACGTCGCTTCAGCCTGGAACACTTACCCAGCATGGAGGACACTGACTCTGCATGGAACACTTACCTAGCCCGTCGCTCCTCCTGGAACACTTACCCAGCCTGGAGAATGTTGCTCCTGCCCGGAAGGAACACCTCCTCAGTCTGGAGAACATTGGCCCCACATGAAACATTTTTACATTGCTTCGCTCGCTTCCTGTCTTTCAATCGCCCTTTTCCCAAAATTTCACAGTCGGAGTGAAAATACAAAACATGGCCAAAACGTTAAACATTAACCTAACTTATCTAGACCTATCTGCACACAATACTCTAATACATAATAGTATTAAATAACATTAGAGTAAATGAAGTATTTTATTACACAGCGTTAGTATTGATGACTGCGTCTTTGAGGTTGGGGAGTTTGACGATGGTTTGGACTGATTTAATTATCGAGGAAGTTTTCTAATTTAGAAATCTTTGCAAAGTTTAGCTCGAAATCTGGGTTTCAAATCTTTGGAGAAGCTAAAACTGTGATTAACTGTGCTCGTTAATCCAACCAATAAACGCCTGTTTATGAATGAAAAAAACTTTAAACAATACTCTCAGATGATGACGTTGAAACATTACTTGAACAGTGCTTCGCTGACGACCTCAGTTCGAACCACAACGCTGTAAATGCTTCACCCAGATATTACAAATACCAAAAAATTGCGAAGAGAACCTAAACCCCTAACTTTGCATTGTTTAACCTAAAGTGCCCTTAAATATGCATAATATGCTAACAATAATAATAATAATAATGATAATAATAATAATGATAATAATAATAATGATAATAATAATAATAATAATAATAATAATAATAATAACAATAATAATAATATAGCGTGGTCTCAGACCGGGCTCGGGGAGTAGAAGAACTCCTGAAAGTGTTCCAGGTATGTTTGAGAATATTTTTGTTTTGAATGTACATTATGTAAACATTGGGGTACACCTGCTGAATGAGCGAGCACTGCCTGGAGACTGGCTGCAGGGCTTCAGCCACCTACTTCACATATAACTTCCATCAGAACCTATACACCTAATCTAACATATACTTAATTATATATGGAACTGTAACTGTAATATGTAATAATGTTTATTTATATGAGAAATTTTTTTAATACACAATTCAATAAAATTGATGAGTGCGTTTTGGGAGGGAATGGGGGAGAGGGAGGGGGGGGGGGGATGTAAGCCTATGCTTTAACGAGCTTAGCGTGAGCACAGGTTGGAATTACTTCAAATCTGCAATTAACTATCCTCAAGCAACCCGTCCTCACAAGCATTAATCCAAGAGTCGCTCATGTTGCTCGTCCAAGCCTCGGCCGACCCTAAACATGCATTCATACACTTTCTCAAACATAAATTCATATTGTTATATGTTATAATTTTGTGTATAATAAGACCTAGTTAGGTTATATATATTTTTTTTGCGCTACTGGCATTTACTTATATTTGCAGTACCTGGACAACGCATTTAGAGACCCTCTTTCACTGCATGGAAACATTATAATTGACAAGAAGTTCCTCATTCCTGCATAATCCTATTTCATTCCCAACCAATAATTGATGTAAAAATACATATGTTCCCACTGTCTCTCAAACTGTCGTCAGTACTAGGGACCACGTCACCCTTCCTGGCCCCGGGAAGAAACACATGATGTTGATCATGTGATCAAAATCAGAATCAAGATGATCAAAACACAGATAATCAACATCCTATTTTTGTCGTATCCATTGATGCAAAATTTCCCTTGTTGTTTCAATGAGCCTAGAACGCAGTTCCTTAAAAAAAACTGGTAGCACTTTTACCCCAAGCGCCGAGTGTCTCAGAAGCAATGGGGACACAATTGTAGTGGTGATCCAGTTCTCTGTACTTACGGGATTTGGCTGCTTCCCTGTGGGTGGCAGCGCCACCTGGTTGTGCATCACTGAGGTGAATGTCGGTGTTAGCCAGGGTTGATACGTACGTGTAGTCCCATACCAACTGCTTGCCGTTCTTCCAGGGGTTCACTGTGATACCATCTGGGCGACCAATAAGAGCATCAGAGTTACGGGGCGTTAGGTAACACCGGGGTTCTCTTTCAGCTGGGCATATATATATATATATATATATATATATATATATATATATATATATATATATATATATATATATATATATATATATATATATATATATATATATATATATATAGTATAATATAACATTACATCCTACTTTTACAGATCACTCCGCCCAAGGTGCTTCCTGACGAGGAGTCGGTGGCCGGGAGGTACCTGCCTCGGAAGATGGAACCAGACAGAGGTAAGACAGTGCTGTTATGCTACGCGCCGGCAGTCACCAGGAGGGTCGTGTACGGTGAAGACAGTTACTGTGATAACGGTTGTGTGTGTAGTTAAGTTGGCTACAGTTGTGATTGTTGGGTGTAGTTAAGAGGGTGACAGTGAGGAAGACAATGTGTAGTCAGTGTGGTTCAGCCCAAAAATGGTGCGTTCTACAGGTTTTCATGACGTGAATTTCGGTCAAGACTGCGTTTACACGATCAGTAATGCGTGTGCTAGAGGAGAGGCACGAGTTTGCGAGAGTTTATGATAAGACCTGATAATGTCCTTGCTCTTAAGCCATCTTAATATCCTCATTGGGGGAGGGGACATCAAGTTCTATATACTGTAAGTTCCATCATCCAGTAACTAGATATTATTATAATTATTATTACAATTCGAGGCGGAAGGGAGTCCCACTGTTGGACACCTTCGCGCGCGTCGAGTTCTTGTTTAGTAAAGACCAACTTTAAGTCACCGCTGTACCATGACTGGATGTACGGATAAAGTGGAGGAAAATGGCGATGCCCTGCAAGGAACATAGCCACTCTTATGACAGGATTCAAGCCACTTTGTAAAGTCCAGCTTAACTATACCCCTTCTGGTCTTTGATGTCAGCAAAATACACTCGAGTCACATGAGCTTCACAGCCTTGAGGGATATTATACTAAAACTCATCTGGCATCAACATTGTGGCTTCTCTCTTGGTTAAGTAATCCTAGAACCGCCTTAACTTAGGGAGTTACCAGCCTCCAGTTGGCCTGATTACTCCATCCTTCTCCGAGAAGAGACAGAGGAGCCAGAAAGAACGCTCTAGCAGAGTTTTCCTCTCCTCTCACTTCTTCACATGACGCAGGTTTGCATGATTAATTGTTATGGTGTACCAGTGTCTGAATATTCATGATCCGGAAGGTAATCCACTTGTCTGGTGGAGGAGAGTAGAAGAGAGCGCAGACAGGAGACGAACAGAGGAGAAGAACAGCGGGGTTAGAATGTAACTCGAACAGGGGTAAGAGGAAAAGAACAAAGGAGAAAAAGGGAAGAGTAGGAAATGAAAGAACAGGTAAGGAAGATGCAGGAAAAACATTGAGGAACAGGGAGGAGGAACAGGTGAGCCAAGATACATAATATTCACTAAATATTTGAGGGAATATTAGAATTAATATTAACACAGAAAACAAACCTTAGGAGGTGTTGACAGTGAACCTGATACATGGGTTGGTAGATATTTTGTTGACCCCCAGACGGTGACCCCCCAGGTGACCCCCAGACGTTGGGGTCACCGTCTGGGGGTCTCTCTCTCTCTCTCTCTCTCTCTCTCTCTCTCTCTCTCTCTCTCTCTCTCTCTCTCTCTCTCTCTCTCTCTCTCTCTCTCTCTCTCTCTCTCTCTCTCTCTCTCTCTCTCTCTCTCTCTCTCTCTCTCTCTCTCTCTCTCTCTCTCTCTCTCTCTCAATCTCTCCCTCCCTCCCTCTCTCTCACTCACTCACTCACTCACCAGCAGCTTGTCTCCCCGGCAGCCGCGGACTTCACCACGTACCGGTACGTGTGCTGGGACCTGAAACACGTGGGGGCTGTGGGCGAGACGGTGCTCCACCTGTGTGTACTCAACGCCACCTCCGTCCACAACGACCTCGCTAAGAGGCTCATCCGACACTTCCCCAACCTCATCAACGACATCTACCTCTGTGATGAGTACTATGGTAAGACCTCAGTAAGACCTTAAGACCACTGTCACCTGGTTTAGGGACCACAATCACCTGGTTTAGTGACCACAATCACCTGGTCGAGGGACCTCAGGGCACTGCTGCAACCCGCAGGTGCTCTGTTGGCCTCCTGTTCAACAACTCGACAATCAGTTCCTTTTCACGTGCATAATTATATTCCCATATTTTTGTAATGGTGTAATCGGTCCCTATTTCGCGAGGAATTAATATATCCTGTGAAGTGCTTGCCCCGCGCGTGTTATAATCAACCCAAACTTTTCCATTGGCTGATCTTAGCTCGGGGTGAATTTATTGGTGAAATTAGCATAAAAGACTCACCGTCGAAGTTTTGATTAGGCCAAAGTTTGTCTATGAACTTGGAGAAATGTTGTTGTTGGCTCATATATTATGCTGATGCTCTCTTCAGTGGCTGACGGGTTGAGCTGACCGTGTCAGAGGATATGTGTTGACGCTTACCCCAGTGGCTGACGGGTTGAGCTGACCGCGTCAGGCGGTAGGTTCTGTCTGGTCTCTCTCTTTGACAATATTGTCCAGTCTCTTTCACGTCTTTGTGAGTTTCCGGTCTATTATTTCCCATTTTCATCTTTCGTCATTGTCTTTCTCCCCCTCATTATCTTCCCTCATCATCTTCTCCCTCATTTTCTCCCCTTCATCATCTCCCTCGCATCATCTCACGTCATGATCTCCTTTCATTATATTTTCTAAGTATCTTCCTTATGTCGTCTCTTCACAGCATCTCCCCTCATTATCTCCCCTCATCATCAGCTGTTGACGCTACCATCAAATTCCCTTAAGTCACTGATGATTTTGTATTAAATATTACAAACTGAACAAAGTATGTCTCACCTTAAGATTTCTAACAAATATTACTTCATCTTATCACCAAAGTTGCTATTTTTAATTACCGCCGTTTATTAAACTATTTTCTTCATTACTGTTATCACACGTGTCGAGGTAAGCACTGTTGTCACTCTCTCACTGCTCCACCAGCTGTGAATTATTATATTAATGAATGATTAGTAAATAATTAACAAAATATAACCTTCTGTTAATTACTTCTGCCCTCCTTCCTTCGCCCTCTGTCTCTCCCTGTCTCTCTGCAGGCGAGGAGTCACAATAACGTGACTGAAGTATGTTGACCAATACACACCTAGAAAATGAAGGGACGACGACGTTTCGGTCCGTCCTGGACCATTCTCAAGTCGATTCTGTCTCTCTACTTCGTCTTTTCTTCCTCCTCCTCCTCCTCCTTCCCTTTTCACTCCATCCGTATCCCACCCCCCCTCGACACACTCACAGTCCTGCTCGTGTTCTCAGGGGAGAATGTGCTGCACATCTCCATCGTGAACGAGGATCCGGCGATGGTCAAGTTCCTGCTCGACAACGGCGCCAACTACCACGAACGCTGTCTGGGTAACTTTATGTGTCCCGAGGACCAGAAGACCTCCAGGTGTGACTCCCTCGACCACGAGTGGGTCGACCTCTGCCTGCCCACCAACTATGAAGGGTGGGTGTATTTGTGCTGTACATACACATTAAATGAGTAAAATATGCACATTAAATGCTTATATATATATATATATATATATATATATATATATATATATATATATATATATATATATATATATATATATATATATATATATATATATATATTAATATATACACATTAAATGTGGAATATATACAGACATTACATGTTCAAAGTCGAAAAATAACTTGAGCATTATAGGAAATAATTCTAGATTCCGTTGCCTCTCCCACTTCCCATAAAATACTGCATGCAGAATAATATCAACAAGAACACTGATAACATCACAACACGGGCTATATCCACGGAGAGGTATTTTCCGTCTCGTCGTGTGTGTAAACGGAGAGTTTACTTTAGTCCTGAATTATGTTCTGAACTAAAGTGTACCTGCTGGAAGGTCTATAAGCTACAGCAGTGGCGTCAGCGACCCTCTTGAGGTTGAAAGTCCAACACCAAACCAAACAGCACCAGAATATTATCAAATAGTCCCTGGAAATCTAAATACTATAAAACTCATCAAATATATGTGTACAGGAAGTCGCCTGGATCCATTCCAGTTGTGTACTACGCCAGACGAAAGTTGGCCTCAATGCTGTAATTCTTTGTCTTTAATTTAATTGTCTTTATAGACAAATTTTCAACATTTCAGAGAAAAATTCCTGTATTGGAAGAATGCTTGAAATTCAATTAACTAGTTGCCGAAAACACCTCTCCTGGGTTACGGAATAAAGTCTAACTCTGCCCTTAAATATAGCATATGGAAATAACTCTTAACACGCCTTATAAACGAGCCTAACTATACAGGTTAGGACTAACAACCCACTGAATAGAGCACTCGAGGGCGTAGACGTAGACGATTTAATGATAATGTAGCCTCCTCAGTCTTGGGGGTACACTTCAGCTCATAATTGTTGATCATAATACGTAAACTTTTCTGTCCTTCAACTTGTGTCTTGGGAGATAAAGCTTTTCTCCTGCAAGACCCAATTCAGCTTAATTTCCAGCGTCCCTGTGACCAGTGGTGCATCTCTACACAATGTCCCCGGTAACCTTTGAGTTTTCATTTACAATTTAGCTCCATTGTTTCCTTCATTTAATAGACGAAATTAGAGTTGCAGGAGATACAGTACTGCCCAGCTCCTCGGTGGGTCTGTGAGTGAGGTGTCATGTCAATGGGACTGCGAATGAGGGATCATACTGAATAGTCTGTCAAGCTAACGACGAGCAAGAGCAATTGATGGAAGTGTAACGACTTATGGTCAAGTACTCTGTAATTCAATACTCTTTGGTGAAACACATTGCTTCCAAATCTCAATTGGACAAACACCATATGATGTATGACCAAGTTTTAATTGCTCAGTAGGCTAATACTCAGTGGATGAATAAGTAACGATTTTGATAAATTGTCAAATGCCCAACAGTAAAATAACCTGAAGACAACTTTCAAAAGCCTATTTGAGAAATATTCAGTAGGCAGTACTAACTCAGTATATAGTTAATATCTATCAGTTAACGTTGGCATTCTACCACAGGATATTTATCAAATATCTAGACATCATTTTTACGTGATGGAAACGTCTAATGATCAAATGTTAAGTGGTTCAGTATCTTGGGGAAGCCTTTAATTAGTTGTTAATTGTTCATTGTTCGCATTACCTCTACAACCCTTTCTTCCAATGTCTTAATCCTCCTCTCTACCCATTCCTCTGACTTTTGTAAACTTTCTCTTGTCCCTTTTGTCTAACGTTTGTAATCCTTCTCTCAACCTTTTCCCTGTCAGGGATTTTATATATTTCTCGTGTCTATTTTTAAATAACTAATCCCATTATCCTGATTTTTGAAATTTCCTTTGGAATAAGGAATAGTAACGGTAACTTTTGCTTCGTGACCTAGAACTCGAGAGAGAGAGAGAGAGAGAGAGAGAGAGAGAGAGAGAGAGAGAGAGAGAGAGAGAGAGAGAGAGAGAGAGAGAGAGAGAGAGAGAGAGAGAGAGAGAGAGAGAGAGAGAGAGAGAGAGAGAGAGAGAGAGAGAGAAAGAGAGAGAGAGCTAGGTCTGGTTCTCCACCTTCTCCTCTCCTCCTTATTCAGCCCCTCGTGACGCCAACTCCATGAGTAAATTCCTGAAATATCAGACTTCTTCTTATCGTTCTGCCTAATGCCTCTCAGCTGGGCCGAGGCCCGGCTGATGTTATCTCCCAAGACCTCCGCGATGACCAGTTACAAAGGAAATCAATATTATTAATCTTACATATAAAAAAACACAGTCAGCTTTGTTTACGTAACAATACGACAGGTATTTGTGCTGTCACGACGGAGAGCCTCATAAACATTAGTTGTTTACGCATAGTTTTAATGTTTTTATTCTCTGGAAGAGAGGTATAAAAAGGTGAGGTGTTTACCTGGCTTCCTTCGCTCTCCTTTATTTAGCCTCCTGCCTCAGCTAACCCAGTTCCCTGTCTATCTCCGCTCACAGCTATGTGTACTGGGGCGAGTATCCGCTTAGCTTCGCCGCCTGTCTGGGACAGGAGGAGTGCTACCGTCTCATTCTTGCTAAGGTAAGGTTTAGGGCAGGAAGGTAGGAAGGGAGGGATGGGGGGTGAGGGAGTGTTGGAGGGAGGAGAGTATAGTTAAAGGAAGAAATGAGGGAGTGAGAGGAATTGAGGGGCAGAGACAGGAAGGTGGAAGGGTGGGAAGGGATGGAGGGAGGGTGAGAGGAATGGAGAGAGGGAGGGTGAGAGGTAGGGAGGGAGAGAGGTAGGTAGGGAGGGAGGGAGGGAGGGAGGGAGGGAGGGAGGGTGGGTGAGAGGGAGGGAAGGAGGAATGCAGGGAGGGAGGGAGGGAGGGAGGGGGGAGGGAGGGAGGGTAAAGAGGGAGAGAGGTAGAGAGGAAGAGAGGTAGGGAGAGAGAGAGGTAGAAACAAAGGGAAGGAGGGAGGGAAGGAAGGTAAAAGAGGGTGAGAAGAGGTGAGAGGTTGGATGTTTAAAAATAAGAACATAATTTACATCTTCGATCACCCAACCACGTGACCAGGTGGATGACGTCACAGGCCAGGTGGGGTAGACATGCTCCCATATATCGAGCGTTTATTAAGAGTCGTGTTCACATATGTTTATTTAGTATCGTTTGTACGATTTCACTGTTGATAACATAATTAAGAAGAGCACCGAGTGAATAGCGATCATTGAGTGAATAAAAATCGAAGAGAGTACTAAATAATTATGTATAACAACGTCGAGTAATGAAAAATAAAATATTTTGACCAGACCACACACTAGAAGGTGAAGGGACGACGACGTTTCGGTCCGTCCTGGACCATTCTCAAGTCGATTGTCTTTAAACAATTCACGACCATTTTTTTCAAGCCAAGCGTTTTTGAGGTTTATACAAGGAACGACTAAATATATTTTAGGTTGAGACATACTAAGAAGATTGTCGGGTCCAATGGCATCACTGGGTGGTCCACGGAATTACTCCTTTGCTAATATATGTGGCACAGGTGTCTGAGGACGCCATATCTTGTTGTGCCCAATAACTGTTTTTTTAAGACAGAACAGAGGAGTGTCGACGGAGTTGGCTCCCTGACATATGTTTATTGCATTCCGAACAGTTTGGGCCGCCCTCCCGAGGGTCGTATGTTGTTCTCTGTGGAATATTTTGTCTAACATCCATGCATTAATATATGTACATATATACATGTATCTGCTCTCTAGTTTGTAGTGAAACATGCATGATGCATATATACATATGCATAGTGGAAACCGGGGCGTACATGTAGTTTCACATGCCTCACTAGTTTACACATATATTTCATTATTCCCAGGGCAAATACAACAATGTGACAAATCAATAATTGGCTATTGATACTGGTGGGAGTTTTTGCTTGTTTTGTGCTGTGAAATGTTCGTATTGGGACACCACGAGCGTAGCTCTTGTCTTGTAACTTCACTTAGAATATCATCCACACACACACACACACACACACACACACACACACACACACACACACACACACACACACACACACACACACACACACACACACACACACACACACACACACACACACACACACACACACACACACACACACACACAGAAGGTGTGTGTGAACGAAAGATCTTTAATGAGTCACTTATGTCGGGAGAATTGCCCAGTTGCTGGAAGAAGGCAAATGTCGTGCCGATCTTCAAGAAAGGTGATAGGGAGGAGGCACTTAACTATAGACCTGTATCACTGACAAGCGTCCCCTGTAAAATACTGGAAAGAATAATTAGGCTACGACTGGTTGCACACCTGGAGAACATTAGGTTTGTGAACAAACATCAACATGGGTTCTCGACAGGGAAATCGTGCCTAACAAACCTTCTGGAATTCTATGATAAAATAACGAGGATAAGACAGGACAGAGATGGTTGGGCAGACTGCATATTTCTGGACTGCCAAAAAGCCTTTGGTACAGTACCGCACATGAGACTGCTGTTCAAGCTCGAGAGGCAGGCGGGGGTGGGGGGAAAGGTCCTAGCATGGATAAGGAACTACCTAACAGGAAGGAGCCAAAGAGTTACGGTAAGGGGCGAGAAGTCAGACTGGCGAACAGTAACAAGTGGAGTACCACAAGGATCGGTGCTGGGACCAATTCTATTTCTTGTATATGTTAATGACATGTTTACAGGCGTAGAGTCCTACATGTTGATGTTTGCGGATGACGCAAAGTTGATGAGAAGAGTTGTGACAGATAAGGATTGCAGGATCCTCCAAGGGGACCTGAACAGGTTGCAGAGATGGTCAGAGAAATGGCTACTGGAATTCAACACGAGCAAATGTAAAGTTATGGAAATGGGACTAGGAGATAGGAGACCAAAGGGACAGTACACAATGAAGGGGAACAGCCTACCTGTGACGACGCGCGAAAGAGAACTGGGTGTGGACGTAACACCTAATCTATCTCGTGAGGCACATATAAATAGGATAAC